TATAAGTCCTAAGGCACCCCCTGGTACCCACCCCCCCCATTTTGGGGTTACCTGCAGGGCCATGCAGATGCGCCAGTGAGTACTAATCTGCGCGACTTATGTCACCCTCTGATGCTTGGCACCCGGGGCGGACCACCCCACCGCCCCCCCCTTACGCCGCTACTGCGACTAAACTATTGGGCGACTAAAGCCTGGTCCGTGAGCACGTAGAATTTTGTCCAATGACCCCAAGCTACCCATCCTTATCGCTCGCGCGTAATTATATTGCTGTCGCAACTGTGCGACGCGCGCCGCGCGACAAAATTCTACGTGCTCACGGACCGGGCTTTAATAGCCTTTAGTCTGCGGGGTGTCTAAATGACCTGATGTTGTTCCAGTCACGGCGATTTGGCCGCGTCGAAACCGCACCACGGCGTGATGGGCAAACAGCGCGCCGAGCGTTTATGGGGCGATCTTACCAACTCGTTGAACAACATGACCGGCGGCTTCAAGACTATGGAGCAGTGGAAGAAGGTAAGTTATCAAAAACACATTACACATAGTTATTAAAATTTCTTAAGAGCCATTTTACATTTTCGTGCGAATTTCTAAGATTTTGGAAGCATGAATTACTATCTTAAGCAACACCCAGATATTATTGAATAACTGTGAAAGATAGGTCAATCCTTAGTGTTGACCATTAATGAAACGGATTTACTAAAACTCTTTTGCTTAATTCTCAGTGCCCCATCTCCCACAACCATTTTACGGAAAAATTGCCGCAGACTCAATTTCAAAGTCCTGTATCTATTATTTATGCTCATATAATAAGCTTAAAAATATATAGTAATCATCGGACATATATTCTTGTTGTCCATTAATGAAATGGATTCTTGAATTTCACTACCATTATTGAGAAAATTTAAAAATAATTTGGCAAATTTGAAGATTAACGTCACATTTTCATCGTGGTTTTTGGTTTAAAAACACAGCAATAACTGCAATAAAAGTATCCCAAAATAAAGAATATGCATTGTAGAATAGATTTCTACAGTTATTGTTTAAATATTAGTAACCACTTTGTCAAAATATTGATGTGAATATCAGTATAAATTACAATACGCAAGCCGACATCGATTAGTATGGCGCGAGCGCCCGTCAAGGCAGGACCTGTGTCACTTTTCCCGCCATGACGTTTACGTGCGTTCGTGTCGTGAAACGGTGATTTATACGGCGACCAAATACATTTGATACTATGCCGAGAGGTCCCTGTTTCAAGTCGGCCGTTTGGTGTAGTGGTTCGAAACGGACTAATATGCCGAGAGGTCCCGGGTTCGATTCCCGGCCGAGCAGAAACTGAAAGGATGATTTTTTTTTGACGGGTCTGGGTGTAACTATGTATATTTTGTATGTATTTATTTTAATAAATAAATTATAAAAAAAAGTATGTAAGTGGTATACTTATCTGTTACGGTTAATGTGATAAATTGAAAATTATGAATAATCGCTGGTTATTATGAATAATTACCGACAGGCGAGGTAAAAGTGATAAATTAATCACATTTATCAGTGATTATTTTATCATGTACTCTTAATACTAACAAATATCATAAAAGAGAATACCGGCTCGTATACAGCGCTCATGTACAGCCTCACATTTTGAACGTTTTGATATCATTTATTAATATAATTTGGCATAGTGAGTTTGGACTGTTTTTTGCGTAACGTTACTTTCCCATAATGCCTATAAAACATTGTTTTGATTTAAAGTGAAAAATAAGTTAAAGGAAAGAACCCCAAAAATGTGTCTGTAGAAGAATCCAGAGTCACTTCTTCAAAAAATAGGTAGTTACGCTTGAGCCAACTTTTATGGCTATAAAACTGTTAAGTTAGGATTAATCGCTATCCATCTGCTAAAGAGGACACGTGAGATCATTATTTGGTTTTATAACCATAAAAATTGGTCTAATTGATCCCAGAGTTGCAGAGGTGAGCCCAAAGTGAGGTCTTTTTTCAAGTTTTTCAAGTCACATTTATTGTATATGTTAATCGTTTATTAGGAAATTAAATGTGTTTTTCTTTAAGGATATTTATTGGGCTTTCAAATAACACCAATATTGTTGAGGAACCATGATTGTGTCAGTAGAAACGAGTTTTCCTGTAAAACGTAGGTGGGCCGATTTTTGTGATGACCAGTGGAGATGAAGTGCTTCTTATTTTAATAAAATTATTACCTGACTAGGTTAAAAAGGTGTAGAATGTTATTTTGGAGATAACTTGCTTCCATAGAGAGAGATTCTAAGTAATGCGCTGAGTTCGAAACTCAGTGTCGCATTAGAAATTCACACACACAAAGAAATCAAAATATGTGCTCATTATCCTCTCTGGTATTAGTATATAATCTTTAGTACTATGCAAGCAATGTAAACTGTTTACATTATGACGTCGCTGCTGTCATCATTGCTTTCACAAGCAATATGTTCTGTTTTTGGGCATATTGTTGCGACACCGGCTCAAGGCTCAAGGGGGCGGCTTTTGTCACATCTCCCTTTAGTTTCTGTGATCTGTGCTTGCTTCGAAATTGATGTCAATTAAATATTCCTTAGAGCTTTTGGTTTAAATTATTTTTTTATTTTGACACGTGTTTGAAAAATCAAGGTCAGAGGTGGAATTGTCTAAAGCAATCGTTATCATTTGACAGTTCATAACGTACGATTATTCTGTCAAACGCTTTGTATAACTGACTTTATCGTACGTTATGAACTGTCAAATGATTCAAAATCAAAAATCAAAATCAAAAATATTTATTCAGTTTAGACCACAAGTGGCACTTATGAACGTCAATAGAAAATAATAAAAAAAGAAAAAGGTAGCCCTTATGGGGCACTTTACATGTCTCCTTATCTTTTGGGCCCTACCAGCGCTTCGAGACAAACATATTATTATGGCAAGTGCTGAGAAGAAACGCCGGAACAAACTCAGTCACCACTTATTGCCAGGAATTATCTAACGGTAAGAATAATCAAATTTAAGTACATCAAATATGTGCAGACTGAACTGACCACGCATCCTTGTCATCAATATAGTCTCGAACCTTGTAGTACCCTTTGGACATTTAAGGGTATTTTTTATATGTATCTTAAATTTGTTTATTGGCAATTCGACAAGGTTGTGTGGTATTTTGTTAAATATGGTAATACATTTCCCCAAGAATGAATTACCTATCTTATGCAACCTAAATGATGGAACAGCAAGTTTATTCTTATGTCTCGTGTTAAATGAGTGGACGTCACTTTTCTTAGTAAATAAATGTATATGTTTACGGACATACATAATGTTATCAAATATGAATTGCGAGGCCACAGTCAATATATTGATTTCTTTAAAAACTTCTCTAAGCAAGTCACGTGATTACGATTGCTTTACACAATTCCACCTCAGATTGCAAGAAAACGTAACATTGCAACTCGCAATGTCTCAATATTGATGAGGAGATTCTATTGTAAATTGTAACAAAACAATAGAACCCCATGGAATTTGGGCTTATGTAATTCGCCTTGACGAATACTTCGTCCCTAAATGATATCCAGGGGTCCGATGATAGAGCTGTAAGAGGGCATTTTTTTTTCGTAATGTGACTGTCTTTATTTTGTACTTAATATATATTTTACATATTATACCTATTCGTGTTTCATTATTAATAATCGAAATATAAAAATTTTTGAAAGATTACATAAACTCTATTAAAATTTTAAATTAATTTATCAAGTTTTAATACCTTATTCTACCTTAATATTAATAACTTATATCAAGTCTTAATACGGTCACGGCTCAAGATTTTTTTGTCCATTTCGGCGTTCTTTTTACTCTTTTTACGTTGCGTTGACAGTTTGTACCTAAATACGCGCGGAACTTTTTTGTGAAATGGCTCTTAACGATTAGATTCTCAAATTAAATTATAAATAACTTGAAAAATTGAACTGCCTAAGGCGGGAATAAAACCCACGACCTTTCGCTTACCGGGCGAAAATTATTGGAAGGCAGTTGCTAATTTCTCATAAGATAGGCCCCCTTAATTGATATTTATTGTCCGTGGTGCATAATCTTTTGTTAAAGGTTTAAACCTTTGTTTGTCACCTGTCATCCGCTTTGCAATGGAGGGAAGTCGAACCTTAATTTCGAACTCCTCCTATGTGCTTCTGATTGATTTCGTTGCGGGTCCAATGACAGTTTAACTTTCCCCCGGGAAAAACTTGGCCTTCACTGGTTGGGTTATTGGCGGTCAAGCTGTAGATCCTGGCTACACAGGAGTTGCAGCGGTGGGAACGAGAGGTGGGAATAGTCCCGTTGACGTTTCAGAATCATTTGACTATAATTTCCCATTCATTTACAGACCTGGATAGACTGGAAGAACAAGACCAAGAAGAAACAGCAGTACAATCAAAACCACCCTTCGGGGAAGCCGAAGCCCTTCTCTGCTATGGAGGAGCGGGTGTTAGCTATCAGCTGCCGGTTTTCAGCAGACCAGCACTGGCTGTATGGCGACCAGTCGGTAGAGTCACCGGTAAGTCTCAGAACAGCCGGCAGTCATCTGTAAGTCTCAGACCAACCGGTAGGTGCACCGGTAAGTCTCAGAATAATCGGTAGACATCGCTAAGTCTTAGGACAACCGGTGGAGTCATCGGTAAGTCTTAGGACAACCGGTGGAGTCATCGGTAAGTCTTAGAACAACCGGTAGAGTCACCGGTAAGTATCAGAACAACGGGCAATCATTGGTAAGTCTCAGAACAACCGGTGGAGTCATCGGTAAGTCTCAGACCAACCGGTAGAGTCACCGGTAAGTCTCAGAGAGGCCGGTAGATGCATCTGTAAGTCTCAGAACAACCGGCAGAGTCACCGGTAAGTCTCAGAACAGCCGGTAGAGTCACCGGTAAAGGACGTAGCACACTTATCAATCCAGAAAAGGATTGCAACCGTATCAACTCAAGGCGGTTATTCTTTGTATGAAATTCCATATTGCAACGCACACTTATCCGCACCGTAACGTAAACGCCTCGCCACGCGGTTGAAAGCCCGCGAAAGGCGATACGGTGTTGATCCCTTTCCGAGTTGATAAGTCTGCTATGCCTTAAATCAGTCTTTTTGTCTTTGCGTGATGTCCATTTTAATAAATGTGTCTTTCTTCCTTTCAATTATGTCAATTAACTTGTTTCTCTTCTATTCTAGAAGTCATCAGAGACCGTCTCTGTTATATACCCGAAGGAATCAGAAACCAAGTCCCAAACGCCCACAATTATATACCAGACGCCATCAGAAAGTACGTCGTCAAAAACCGTATCTGTTATGTACCAGAAACCATCAGAAAGTACTTCACAACCGGGCTCTATTAAATACCAGAAAGCACAAGAAACTGCTTCACAATCGGCCACCATTATATGTCAGAAAACAACGGATTCCACATCGCCAAAAACGGCATCTACTATATACCAAAAACCATCAGAAACCACATTAAAACTGGGCTCTATTAAATATCAGAAGGGCCAAGAAACTACGTCACAATCGGGCTCTGTTATATACCAGAAACCATCAGAAAACATATCACAATCGGCCAAGATTATATATCAGAAATCATCAGAAAACATATCACAACCGGCCGAAGTTCCGATAGAGTTCGAAGAAGTATTGTTAGAAGAACTGATGGATGATGAGGTGATTCCAGAAGCTGATGGCAAGTAAGTTGAAGATGGAATACCAGTGGCCTAATTCACGTATTTTGAAACAGTCAACGTTTAGAAGTCGTCCCATTGAAAAACAGTCCTAAATCCGTATTCACGTGTCATTTCGATATAGAAGACCCACGCTGAACTGTCCCACCAAACTCAATGACAGGGGGGCGCTACCATCGTTCAACTGGTTTCCAACATGGCAAAAATCGGAACCAGCGATCCGGTATTGACGGTGGCGCCCCACTGTCAATGTCATGGATAGGACAGTTCAGTATTTTAGAACTATAGAACGATTACTCAATAGGATCGCAACTCAGCGATTTGTCACTTGACGTTTAATCACTGGCACCAAAGTTCAAAATAAGTAATAGGTGAATACCGCGAAGGCACAATCGAATACGGATAAAAACGAAATCGAAACAAAATCGGGCGATCAATATGAATTCGAAAAGTGACAAATCGCTTGCATGTCGTTGAAGTTTTCATACGTGAATTAGGCCACAGAAAACTAATGCCTGTATTCAAATAAATTCAAATAAAAATACAAATGATGCTTGCTTTAGTGAAGCAGCAAATCGAACGCACAGCGTTGAATAGAGCTCTGTGATTGGTTCGTGTGTCACCCTGTGCGTCCACGCGCACTGTGAGACCTCATAGTAATGTTTGTGAATGCGGCCGTAAGACTCCCTGAAGACCTACAGACTTTTAGTCGGCCGATAGTCGGGCCCGATTCTAATTTGTATGAAGAATCGGCCGATACCAAATCGGTGTAATGTGCGCACTTTCATACATCTCCGTACTGATCAACAGCCCGATCCAACTATCGGCCGACTAAAAGCCGGTGGTCTGCGCCTAGGCTTATACTTGTTCATACTGATTAATAACCCGATTAAACTAATCAAACAAGGCTGTATGTTTCTTTAATAAAGATAAATAAATAAATAAATAAACTATCGATCGTCAAGTCTGTAGTCTACGACGACTCTAAATCGACAATTGAAGGGGTGAGTGGACAAAGGTGTTTCTGACAAAACTGAAAAATCTACTTTTTTGCATGAACATAGGTTTTAAGTGATGATAAAATCGACTAATTAGCTCAAAACACGCAATTTTGTTACGTGTCAAACCTTAACAAAGGTGTTATCTGACAAGCATTCATACATTTCAGGATTCAAATGTGGTATGAGCAGATTAACATTTTCAAACACTCATAACTCATTTTGTTAGTTAAGACCTTTCTCTACTCACCCCTTCAATTACGATCTGTCCCCTAGACAAAACGAAGTGACAGTTGTAATCGATTCGCTCTGGAGTTTCGGTGTAGCTACGATGTAATTTCGAAATCGATTCACTTTGGAGTTTTGTAGCTATTTCGCTCTGAGAAGCGATTTCGAAATTAAAACTGTCACACCATACACAAACACATGTAAACTTGCCAAATTGAATCGTGATGCTTTGTATTAAGACATTTATTTGATTTTAGTTCAACCAAACACAATATAACGGGAGAGGAGACTCTTGGTGTGAGTATTATCTTCGTTTCTTTTTGTGATTTTTACCATATAAAGTTTTCGTGTTTTTTAAATCTACATTTTCTATCTATATCTAAATATATATGTTACGGCTAAAGATAGGTGTGAACATAAACTTAAGATTAGCCGGCTAAACTTAAGTTTATCTTCGACGAGGTGTTAATGTTAGTTTCTTCTATCTTTAGCCGGCTAAACTTAAGTGTAACCGCAGACCCCTGGCTAAAAATGTAGAAGGAAATGGAAAAGGAAACAATGTAATAATGTTATACTATTTTGACACGAAAACTTAATTAAGAAATAATCACTTTCATTACACATACTTTTATGTACCTATGTAGGTATTCAAAATTACAATTATTACAATAACAAAATATTAATTACTTAAAACAATATCTACCTAATCATTAAAATAAAATAATAAGGATCCATTTGGTCATTACAGAATCTTCTGCAGGTATTTAAAATTACAAAATAAAACTGCGCGCGCGTTGTCTCCCCACCGCCCCCTCAAGCCCTCCGCCGGCCTGGCGCGCCCATCGAATACATTTTTAGCCGTTTCGTTTTGGCTAATGTGCACATTAGCCTGCTAAAGATGGAATATCACGACGCAAACTAACATCTTATCGAACTTTAGCTGCTTCTCGAAGATAAACTTAAGTTTAGCCGGCTAATCTTAAGTTTATGTTCACAACTATCTTTAGCCGTAACATATAAAAGGAGAAACTGACTGACTGACTGACAGATCAACGCACAGCCTAAACGGCTAAACGTAGGCACTTGAAATTTGGAAGGGACGTAGCTTAGGTACCGTAGAGGTGCACTAAGAAAGGAATTCCCGAAATTCCCACGGGAACGGGAATTAGCGGGAAAAACGGGATTCACGCGTACGAAGTCGCGGGCGGCCGCTAGTACTTATAATAAATCTGTAGAGAGGTCAATTCTGTACATGAAATATATTTTCAAAATAACTGTCAGGGGGTGATTAGTGATCGATACTGATGCCAAAAATGCAATCAGTAAAATTTTTGTCTGTCTGTCTGTCTGTCTGTATGTTCCTTATAGAAACAAGAACTACTTAACGGATTTTAACGAAACTTGGTACAATTATTCTTCGTACTCCTGGGCAGGTTATAGGATACATAGGAATTCCCACGGGCACGGGAATTAGCGGGAAAATCCTTTTGTATGAAAAATCTAAACTGATTAAGTTAGACGCTTGAAATTTAGCATGCAGGTACCTTAGTAAACTCAAAGCTTAGTTACAACAGGATATTGCAAAATTCCCACGGGAACGGGAGTTACCGGGAAAAAACATTTGTATGAAAAAAACTAAACCGCGTAAGATAGATGAAGGGGGTAAAACGGGATCCACGCGTACGAAGTCGCGGGCGGCCGCTAGTTTTAAATAAATTAATAATCTGGAATTATAAAGTTATGAATATAGTAACTTCATAGGTCAATATTTATTTGAATTAATAATTGTAGTAGTTATAGCACCAAAAATTTTGCTAACAGTATCATTTATTTGAAATTTTACTATAGCAGAGCGGAGCTTCCTAACACAAGCAAAACTGGTTGCTTAATAGGAAGCCCCAAATACCTGTGATTAAATGCGTAAATGTTACCGAAATAAACTTTATTATTTATTTAAAAACCTCAATTTATTTGTTGCTTTCACTAAATATTAATATTGTCTATGCCTCGCAGAAAAACTCCCAGTCTATGGACACGCAACAGTCGAGTGACCTTCAAGCGGAGTCCGAATGCGAAATGACCAATGAAGAAGTCACGGCGGCGGAGAGCGAAAACAAAATAATGTAAGTACCTAATCACAATCTACATAATATACTAATATTATAAATGCGAAAGTAACTCTGTCTGTCTGTCTTGCTTTCACGCCTAAACCATTGAACCGATTTTGATGAAATTTGGCGTAGAGATAGTTTGAGTCCCGGGAAAGGACATAGGATAGTTTTTATCCCGGTTTCTGAAACAGGGACGCGCGCGATAAAGTTTTTCTGTGAAAGACAAAATTCAACGCGGGCGGAAAGCTAGTATATTATAAAACAAAGTCGCTTTCCTATCTGTGTGGTTTTGAGAAAAGAAAAATAAAATAAAATCTGTCTGTCCCTACGTATGCTTAGATCTTTAAAACTACGCAATAGTTTTTGATGCGTTTTTTTTAATAGAGTGATTAAAGAGAAAGGTTTTTAAGTATTGTACCTGTGCGAAGGAGGGACGGGTCGCTGGTTAATAAGTAATGCACGCCACGATGGCTTTTTAAAAGCCTACTTGCATAAATAATGAGTTTTATGATTTTTTTGTTTCCTTTTAGGTATTTGTCAAGAATTCGGCCCACCGCAGAGCAGTTGGAGTTACTGTTGCAGTATATAGACAGGTAAATAACAACTCTAAAGTCTGGTCCCCGAGCACGTAGAATTTAGTCCAATGACCCCAAGCTACCTATCCTAATCTCTCGCGCGTAATTATATTGCTGTCGCGACTGTGCGACGGGCGCCCGCAGTGAGTTCGTTCGTTCGTTTCAGCCAAATGACGTCCACTGCTGGACAAAGGCCTCCCCCAAGGTTTTCCACAATGAACGGTCCTGCGCTGCCCGCATCCAGGCTCTTCCCGCGACCTTCACCAGATCGTCGGTCCACCTAGTAGGAGGCCTGCCCACGCTACGTTTTCCAGCCCGTGGTCGCCACTCGAGAACTTTCCTGCCCCAACGGCCATCGTCTCTACGAGCTATGTGCCCCGCCCACTGCCACTTGATTTTAGCAATTCTGCGAGCTATGTCGGTTACTTTGGTTCTCCTACGGATCTCCTCATTTCTGATTCGATCACGCAGGGAAACTCCGAGCATAGCCCGCTCCATCGCCCTTTGGGTGACCTTGAGCCTTCTTATGAGGCCCATAGTAAGCGACCACGTTTCGGATCCATATGTCAACACTGGCAACACCAGTGAGTGTGCGAGCGCAATAGCAATATAAATACGCGCGAGCGATAAGGATGGGTAGCTTGGGGTCATTGGACAAAATTCTACGTGCTCACGGACCAGGCTTTACAACACGTCAACTTAGCCTAGGCGCAGACCACCGACTTTTAGTTGGCCGATAGTTGAGTCGTGCTGTTAATCAGTATAGACATGTATGAAAGTGCGCACATTACACCGATTTGGTATCGGTCGTTCTTCATACAAATTAAAATCGGGTCCAACTATCGGCCGACTAATAGTCGGTGATCTGCGCCTAAGCTTAACTAGAGTAGCGGATTCGATCCGCGTCCCGGGCCTGCGGGGTTACTCCGAAAAACGTTATTCGAAGTTTCGAATGTTGCCATCCCTCTCACACGAAGAGAGATGTCAGCATGAGTGACGGTGACAGATAGACCCGAAACTACGTAAACAGCGTTTCAGAGTACCCTGAACGTAGGCTGTCTCGTGTCCCGGGACTTAGAAAATCAGAAAATGTCGAGTCTTCCCAAACCCTAAAATTACAACTACATAAGGCCTGGTTTCCACCAGGCGGATGGGAAAAGAGACGGGCCGTCAAGTCTGTATTGACAGCGGCGGCGGCGCGGAGCTGTTTAATTGGTTGTTCAAAACTCTTTTTCACTCCGTTCCGCCTTGGTGGAAACCAGGCCTAAAGACACAAAATTCAAAGTACATTCGCGTAAATATTACACACTGCAAAATAATCCTTATTTCAACTGCATAAGACTTGTTTCCAAGGCACGGCGACCCGGTCCATTGGAGCCGCCAAAATGGCTCGACCGCCGCCGACACGGTGCTCGCGCGGCGTTTGAAGGCCGATCAGATGTGGATCGATCTGACGGACGCTTTGAACGCCATCGGCAATAGGAAGACCATCGGCAAGTGGAAGAAGGTATTGTTTGTTCATATTAGTTTGATATTTTTTACATAATGTAGATGTAATGCTTGTTCTGGAAGAGTTCTTGCTTCGAACTCCTCCTATGTTCTTCTGATTAATTTCGTTGCGGGTCTAGTGATAGTTTAACTTTCCCCCGGGACAAACTTGGCCTTCACTGGTTGGGTTATTGGCGGTCAAGCTGTAGATCCTGGCTACACAGGTGCTGCAGCAGTGGGAACGAGAGGTGGGAATAGTACAGTAATATTATTTTAGTATTTTTAATGACAAAAATATTTATATTGTCATTTATTTCCCGACCGAGCTAAAGTCTGGCCGCCGAGCAGATAGAATTTCGTTCAATGACCCCAACCTACCCATCCTTATCGCTCGCGCGTAATTATATTGCTGTCGTGACTGTGCGACGGGCGGCCGCAGTGAGTGTGCGATTGGACGAAATTCTAATACTCGTATGTGATTGTGTTGTCGTATGGGTTGCTTTTGTAGCAAAACTTATCTACTATATAAAAATAAGTCGGGTTTTCCTTCCTGACGCTATAACTCCAGAACGCACGAACCGATTTCCACGAATTTGCATTCGTTGGAAAGGTCTCGGGCTCTGTGAGGTTTATAGCAAAGAAAATTCAGTAAAATTTAACAAACGAAATTCCACGCGGGCGAAGCCGCGGACGGAAAGCTAGTAGGCTATACATAAGTTTTGTTAAAAACTAACTCTATTAAATTAATGCTATATAAGACTTATTTTCAAGACACGGCGAGCCAGTACACTGAAAAACGCCGAAGCCCAGAGGCAGAGCATCTCAGAGGCACAGCATACAAATCTGAAAAAGACCTGAAGTCTCGCTGACGTTTGGCGTTACAAAAACACTCCTGCGCCGCTCCCATACCTCAGGCACTGACTGAGTTAGTACTGACACCTATAATTGTAACAGTTTTTTTTTAAATTATTTTATTGGTTTCAGACGTGGGTCGACTGGAAGTCTAAAACGAAGAAGAAGTTGCAAAATTCAGGGCACGAAAACTTGAGCTCGTACGAGAGACGATTGATCGCCGTGTTGGCTAGAGCCAAGAAAAAACTCGAGGCAAAATCCGAAGAGCAAATTGCTGTGAGTATTAATTTTCAGGGTTCCGTACAGTCAAATAGTTCGTGACACTCAAAGTGACCAAAAAGTTCCTTTATGCGCAAATTGTCAAATTCGCAAATTGTCAAGCGGTCGCAATCTGCCAAATTCACAAATTGCCAAATTCGCAAAATGTCAAATGCGCAAATTGTCAAATTCGCAAAATGTCAAGTTTTAAAAATGTCCAGTTGTTTAGGTTTAATAATAAAAGTCAAGTAATTAATTGGCAGAACTTTCAATCATTAAAATGTTAAGGTGTTTTTTAAATATGAAACCATAAAACCGTAATTTAAAGACATTTTTAAAACTTGACATTTTGCGAATTTAACAATTTGCGCATTTGACATTTTGCGAATTTGACAATTTGCGCATAATAAAAAGTTAACGACACAACCTGTTGTACCAGCACAGCACATTTTTTGTGCATTCTTACAAACATTTTGACAAGTATCCGTGACTAAATAAATAAACTCACCTAAATAAAAGTCGGTCGCCGAGCAGATAGAATTTCGTCCAATGAGCCCAAGCTACCCATCCTTATCGCTCGCGCGTAATTATATTGCTGTCGCGACTGTGCGACGGGCGACCGCAGTGAGTGTGCGAGCGATAAGGATGAGTAGCTTGGGGTCATTGGACGAAATTCTATCTGCTCGGCGACCGGACTTTAGAGCTTACTTTTTATACTTTTATTATTTATTATTTCAAGGCAATTAAAGAATTCTTGGTTGAAAACGCCTCTGAGAGTGGGCGGGGTCTAACGCCTAGTTTGGACGACCAGCCGGCAGATGGCGTGAGTAAAACCTAATAAAATTAATTAAAACTTATTTAACTTTACTACGAGTCTACTATCCGTTTGCTTTAAGTTTGCCGCTGGCGATATGACCTCACTCGAAACAAAGCATCTATAACTTTAAAAAACTATATTTAAAATATTTTTTATTTATTATTATTGATAAAAATTGTGTATTTGCGTAAAATAAGACACATTAATTGCGTTTAATCACTAACTAATTGCGTTTAATCGCGGTTGGGGGAGGGAACGCGCATTCCACGGACCGGCAAACTTAGCGCGAACGGATAGTATAGCCTGACCAGGAACATAAAAACCCTGGCATAGAGGCGCGTCAATTGCATTTGATAGTGCAACACTGAGTACAGTCGTACCTGTGTTAAATTAATAGGCTATCTTTATGTATCAGGATTCAGGATTACGGCTAATTTGATATTTTCATAAATTAACGAAAATATATTATTATAGGTAACCTGGTTTAAATAAATTAAATGAAACGATCAATCGAGCTAGTAGGATTTATTTTATTATTCATCAATAATCAAATTCAGAACTTGAATATTCACCTGCAATGTCTGCTCAAGAACGCTTCAAACTCGGTACTTCTTTCCCAATTCCATAAAATTCAACACTTAAAAAGTGACAAAAAAATTTAAAATAGGTAGTTGAAACATTGCACAGCTAATTTTCATAGTGGACTGTACTATACGATAAACATGTCAGTCAATTTGACAACCATTGTCGGAAACATTATTCAATGAAAATATTGTCCGAACCCTTAGTATTTCTCTTAGACTAAACTGTAACACATTGTGAACCAC